ATATATATATATATATACATATGGGCAGTTCCATGTCGAGTCGCACACTTTCGAACCTCGACTTCTCAATTTTTTTTAATTTTTGCTGATTAGTAAAGTCTAGGCCAGTATACAGAAGGCCGAAAAAAAAGAATCTGGAAAAGTAAATCCCTTGCCAAGTTACACCCTCTCAAATTTGCAAAATTTGCCAACTTGCCGCTTGAAATGCCTACACTTTCAGACTTGTAATTTACTTTGTTCTTGATAGAATTTAACAATTTTTTGTATTTCATGCATATTTGCTGTTTTAGTTTTGTTGAAAAGTTACATAAATACAATAAAAGTAGAATTTTAAGTGGTCATCAAAAAAAAGAACTTTTAAATTTTCTAAGAAAAGCATTTTGTGCAGAATTTTTCGCTCTACAACATCAGATTTGGAGATGGCAGTTTTTTGGTATCAGGAGCTAAGAGCCGGGGTGGCATTCAAAACTGAAAAAAACTTCTCATTTTTTTAGCATTCCCATATATTTTACAATTTCGATTGTAGTTCTTTAGCTGTTCCATCTTCTCTAGGAATATTTTTTTGATTCGCAAGGTTGTTACGGGAGATTCGTTGCTTTGATTGAGCAAGGGATGTGCTCGTACGTAGCTCTTTTCAACGCATCGTACGGGAAGTGACGCAGATTCCCACCAAATGTTTACTTCATCTGAGGTTCCAGTCTTCAGCGCTTCTAGCACTGTAGGTGAGTTTTCCGGATTCTAAGAGATTATAGAGTATTTGTCGTTTCAGTTTTTAAGGGTTTCAGTCAGAAGTGTTATTTCTCTCCCTTGTTTTTATTTTCCCATGTTTTCTTTATTATAACGGCGAAATGACTTGCTGTTAAGCAAGGAAAGTCCTCTGCCTTTTCATTGCTTTTTGAGATTCCATAACTCCTTCGCGGAAGAGCTGAAGTATATTTAATATGCCTATTTGACGACGCTAAGGTTGCCGCAACGCGCAACGCCTTCTCCAAGTAACATTCATCTCACACTGAAAGTGAGAGGAGACTTAGAAGTGTAGTGGCATTAGATTTTAGATTTGAACTTTAAGACTCCGTGCACCTGCTTAAAATTTATTAGTTTAAATACGGTCGTAACTGCATTGATCGTTATATTCCACAACAGTTTCTTTTATTGTAAATTATTAATTCTTCTTCATGTTGAGATGAGAGTATGTGGTATGGTGTAATGAAGACCTTTTATTATTTGTGTAACTGGTTCTAGCTTAGGATTGTACAGTTAATGTTATGCGGGAGGCGATGGAGCTTGTTAGTTTTAAAACTCGGTTTTACTCTTTAACTGTTCACATTTTGACCAGACCGTTCCGATGCTTCTAATATGCTTTGACTTATTTGTTCCAACTGCAGTTGTTTCAAAACGGTAACGATTGTTTTTGTTCCGAAAGGCTTATAAAAGTTGCAGTAAAGAGTCGTCCCTTGAGTCTCTCCATGTTTTAAATCTTCCACACGACAAAACTCCTATGGGTGTTTGCTGAACAAAAATTCTGAGGTTAGTCGGGGCCACTTTGAGCTTTTGCAAGTTTCATTACGAAAGCAGCATTAGGAGAGTAGAACGAAGTGGCAACGTGAGAACATTAAGCTACTTCTCCACAGTCCACGTAAGTCACCTACAAACTTTTAGAATTGGCAGCCGTTATCTAGCGGAAAATCTCTCCAAGGTAAATAATTCATCAGTGGTTTCAACGCCACTGTAATTGAACGCCTAAACAAAGGCCACATTAAAGAGACCAGGCACTCAACGCTTTTGTGCTACTCCATCACCCAACATAGCCATCTTACTTCTGAAACCTTTATTAATAAAAGAATTATTGTGCTGCCAGGGCTAAACCTAAAATCTCATGCAGTTAGACGAGCAATGAAAAGAAGGTTGCGTAAGTGATGGGTAAAACTGGTAAAACATAACCCGGGGAGGGAGGCGGCAGTACACATACTGAAAAGGAAAGATGAAAAACCAGAAATGAACCACAAATAATGCAACATATGAATAAGGCGCTGTGCACAGACTTGACAGAGTGCGTGCTTTTATGACTGCCTATTTCAACAAAGTAATTCTTCCCACGGAGCAACTTCGGGAGCGTCTTCCCACTCGAATCGACAAAGCGGACAACTCCGATGATTCGCTGAACTAATACCTCTGGAGAGTGGTGAAGACCTTGAACAGAGGTCATAATCAAAGCAACCACACACAGTAAACTTGAAAACTTTCATGCATGAGATAGGAAGTAACTGAAGTCAAACCTGTTAAGACGGCTAATGTTCGTCGTTCGTCTCCATTTCAGGATACAGGCTTCGCATCCTATCATCTGACGGCAGTGAATACAACCAACTGGCCGCTTCGGCACTTCGAAACAAATTATACATTGACGTCCATCACAGTCAAGTCTGCTTCGGTCTAGGTTACACGACAAATTCTGATCAGACGCGTTAATTTCTTCAAGTATGTAAATATTAGGAGCAACACTTATGTACACTAAAACATTTACAACTTGTTCCTTAAAAATTAGATGAAACTAACAGGCTTGCAGCAACGGTTTAGAACAATGATGATACTTTATGCCGTATTTAACATAACTGTAACAAATGGGTTACGATAGGACAAAAGTATAAAAAATTGACCTTTCTTGCTCCATTCCTCTGCAAGCTTCAGTGCTAACTGGTAGTCAGACTTTTCTTGGGCACGCTTCTTATTCGCCTCTGAAGTAAATATTGCAAGTTTAGAGCAACGGAAATTGCGCACTTTGCTTTTTTGAGATATAGGAAAGTAAATCATATTACGAACTATATGATCCCATCTATGAAAAAATAAGGATACTCAAACCAATAAGAGAAATAATTGCGAGGCGATTTAGCAAAGCTATTAAAAAGAGAAATCAAATCTTTCAATAAAACCATAAAATCTGTAAGAGGAATTAGTTTCTCAGAAATAGTTGTAAGTTCAACATAAATTGAGCAGTTTCAACAAAACTTACTTATCAATAAAACCAAAAAACAACTGGAAACTTACCTTCATCTTCATCGGTAGATGAATCAGCGCCCAAAATGACTAAGGGCGGCTGCTGTCGACGTCTTTGACGGCGCTCTATCAACCGACGATTCCGTTCCCGTCGCTCTTCAGCACTCCTTACAACAGCACGACGAGGACGAGAAGTTGAAGGAAAAACAGACTGTGTTTCCTCGACATCATCAATGGTGACCGTTAAAGTCAAAGGACGACAGCGTAAACCTGTGTTGGAAGTATACGAAACTGAGGATTCGCAGGGATTACTGGGACGATGGTTTTCATCATCTGAACCAGAAGACGAAGATTTGAGGATCCTCCGCCTGGTGTTTTTCCTGCGAGAAGTTCTAGAGTCTGTGTGAAGAAGCACAGGTGAGTCGCTACCGCTGCTCGTCACCTCTCCGAAATCCTCCTTTAAGGCAGCTTCAATAGCGACACGCGAACTATAATAAATCCAGTAATGAAAAGTACAGAAGTGGAAAAACATGAATTTAATAGAGAAAACCTGGCCGAAATCAATGAATAAGCACTTTGACCGCTTTCTTATCCCTCGAACAAACAGTATGATGTTGTAATTAAAAATTGCAAGACCCTCCTGTTGCAAAAAGGTTCCTGCAACTTTTTTACCTCAGTATTTTCCTTATCCTACTAATTCCTCTTCTTCGAGAACACCTTTCGTTCCAAAACATTTACGGAAATTTCTGTCTGCCTTTTAGTTACTCACAATACACCACGAAATGCGTGAGCATTAAAGTTTCCCACGGTTTCACAAGTACGTCATTACTTTTTCAACATGTGCAGAACCAAGCAATACCAACACAGACTAAGCGCAACAGCTTCTGCGCATACGTTTGTTAAATATAGTCTGCACTTAAACGACCTCATAGATGAAGGAAACACAAGGAATTAGGGTACCGAGGTGAAGCTTCGTCCAAAACTCTTCTCCTTACGCTATGGGTTACCTCCATCGTCGCCTGGAGATGAAATAAGCAAGTCTACATTACGAAATGAGAATTTCAGGCAAAAATTTTTAGAATGATTTTCATTTGTCTTTCCCGCCTGTGCAACACTGGTAAGGTACCGAAACGAAAATTCATCCTTGGCAACGGGCCACGGTAGCACTACAGAACGTCATCTGTAGCGGTTACCTCGGAGTCTAAAAGCAATGTGGAAAAAATAAATATCCAAGTAGTTTTTTATGTCAAATAGGCATACCTAAAACCGTTGAGCCCTTTTTTCTCTGACATTAGGTATGATAATTAGTCTAGATATTGGCAGTGAAGCGGTCAACAAGCTTTTTTGTCATTTATAGGTCTATTGCATGGTTTTTTAAAAGATTCCTTTTTATTATTATCGTCTTTACTACTAACGTTAATAATACTAACAGTATTAAAAATATTAAAAATGTTAGTAATGTCAATAGTATTAATGATATTAACAATATTATTAATATTAATACCTTTAATAACGGCAGCAACAATAACGTTGTGATATTAA